ATCTTGTTTGTAGTATAGATTCCTTATTACTCGCATGTCCCTTGTATCAATATTTTTTATTTTCCAGTATTTGCATCAGTGGCCTATGTTTTACTGTATCAAATGCTTTGATATAGTCTAGGAAACACACAAATATGTCCTGATTTACGTCTAAGCATCGTTGTGTTAGAACATTAAAAGCAAACAGTGCCTCTCTAGTTCCTAGTTCGTCTCTAAAGCCAAATTGAGAGGGTCCGATGTCAACTTCCAATTTTTTATATATTCTCCGATGAATGATTTTTAAGAAGACCTTTAATATATGACACATGAGACTGATGGTGCGATGTTCCGAGCATTGTTTCGCATTAGACTTTTTGGGTATGGCTATTATTGTTGTTACTAGCCATTCATTAGGTATGATACCAGATTTGTAAATGCTGTTAAATAGTTCCACGATCTTTATTAAGTTGTTGCCTTTGATGAGTTTAATTATGTCTATTGGTAGTTCATCTGGGCCTGTAGCCTTCCCCGACCTCATTTCTTTAATCGTGTATTCCACTTCATCTCTTGTTATTTCTGGTCCTGTGTCACTGTTTATGTATTCGTTATCTACATTGTCTCTTTGATCTTTAAACAGTTGTTCTATGTACTGTTTTCAGACTCTTAATTTTTCTTCTGTGTCCATAATAATGTTTCCACTCTCGTCTACTAATATGTTGTGTCTGTTACTTTGTCTCCTCGTCAACTCTTTGATCTTCCGATGTGCATTAAAGCTGTCGTGTTTATTTTGTAGTTGTTCGATTTCTTCGCATTTTTCTCCGTACCAGTTTTCTTTAGCTGTGCGTATTTTTAGACGAATTTCTTTTTGTATCTCTTTATACTTCTGGTTCTTTTTGTTTTTCTGTTTTCTTCTTTCATCCATTAAGTTCAGTATCTCATCTGTCATCCATTCTTTTTTATATTCTTTACTTTTATGGAGGTGACTTATGCTTGGTTTCATTAACGCTGTTTTAATATGTGTCCAATTTTCATTGATGTGATGTGAGCAGTGGTTCTAATACCTAGCAAATACAGGTGGTTCTAGAGTTTTCCTGACGCTTATTATATATTCTTTATCCTGGCGAAGTTTATTTATAGTTATCAAGATTATCCTACTAATTTTGTTTTTTTACGTCACTTAAAATCTAAGACTATTTATATCTGGTAAAAGTATCCCATGTCTTTCTAAATATATATTTTTAGGGAGTATATAAGGGAGTTTTTTTTCTATATAGGATTAATCTTAAGCAACTGTCGTAACAATATGACCCATATTCTTCTTTTTGGAGACGAAAAATATATTAAAGTTTCGAAATTAAAAGTTAAAAAGTTTTTTAAATTTCACCTACTTCTAAACTGCACAATTCGCTGATCTCATTACTACCGCTGGTTTTATTAAATTTTGTTTGCACGTTCCTAAGTTATATCTCGAAGTTGCCGAAAGTAAAAAGAACTAGTAAAAAAACTCTAACTGAATTTCTCACCTCTCCAATTATCGTCCAGCACTGGCTCATATGTTAGTTTGTAGCCCTGGAGGAGACCGTTGCAATGCTCCGTTGGGGGTGGCTGCCAACTAACTTGTAGCGATTGAGACGTCAAAGCTGCACATCTGACGTCTTCCGGTGGCATGCTGGGCACTAGAGCAATATCGAACAGATGTTTAACTACTTTTACTTTATGACTTTGTGGTTAACGAAATTATATAAATGGACTAGTTTATTACAGAGCGTTTATAAAAAATTTTAAAATAATTTGTATTCAAAATTATTTAATAATAATTAGTATGGTTTTAAATCTGTTAGATATTAACTAAAAGCTTATTTGACAGATTATAAAATATACAAAATATTTTTATCCCCCTTTTTAAACAGAGGTAAAACTTTTGCTACTTTTATTACATCTGGGAAAATCCCCTCAGTAAGACAATTATTATTATAAAGTATAATTAATTTGTCCATAATGATATCGGTCATTTTAACAATTGTTTTTTTGTTTAACCCGGTAATACATGCGTGTCGGTTGAAAGGACCAAGGCGTGATAAATTTTAATATAACGCCACTGGTTTAGTCATGGTGCTACTGATCTTCCTGGAATGCTCCAAGTGGTTTTCCCCTTACCGACTAGTATAAGTATTCTTTGAGAAGTAAGTTTAGTAAAACCAACAAAACAAATATTGTAAAAGTACTTCCAGGACCCAAAGAGTACGCTAAAGATATTACAAATGAGGCAAGTGCTTTTGCTAAACTGTTTACTGATGGCATTATTACAAATCTGAAATTATAGAAACAATAGGACTTTTGTCACACTGGTCAAACTCAGTTTGGTTTTAAGAATGGGTTCGGAACAAGAGAAGCACTTTTTTCAATACGTGTGCTAGTTGAAAGATGTAGAGATGTGGATTCTGTTGTATACTTGTGTTTTATAGACTTTCAGAAGGCGTTTGACCTGGTGAAACATAATAAACTAATAGATATTTTAAGGTCATGTAATATCGACGATAAAGACTTAAGGATCATTTCAAACCTCTACCAAGAACAAAAGGCTAAAATCAGAATAAAAAGCAAAACATCTGGAAAAATCAATATCGAGAAGGAAGTAAGACAGAGATGTGTCCTATCACCCTTGCTGTTCAATGTTTACTCTGAGAAGATATTTCAGAAAGCTTTGGAAGGCACCTCGGATGGTATAATTATAAACGGGCAATGTATAAATAACCTGCGATATGCTGATGACACTGTAGAGAACGAGTAACGACAGCCTGTAGAGAATTTGGAATGAAATTGAATACAAAGAAGACAAAAACGATGGTCATCAGCAAGCACCAAAACAGAAGTATGAAGGTCAATGTCGACGGAACAGATCTGGAAAGAGTAACAAGAACAACGTACCTTGGAAGTAATCTTGATGAAACTTGGGACCACTCACTAGAGATAAGAATACGCCTGGAAAAGGCACGTACAATGTTTTACAAAATGCAAAAAGTTCTATGCAACCGCCAGCTGGGCATCTCATTGAGAACTAGAATACTTAAGTGCTATGTTTTCTCCACCTTGCTCTATGGTGTTGAAGCCTGGACAATGACAGAAGCAACACAAAAAAGAATCCAAGCATTCGAACTCTGGTGTTACCCTAAAATGCTCAGAATATCCTACATGAGCCATACGACAAATGCGGAAGTCTTGCGGAGGATGAATAAGGAAAGAGAGCTTATGCTTATAATAAAAGAACGGAAAACACAATATTTTGGTCACATCATAAGAAATCAAAAGTATGAACTGCTCCAACTTATAATCGAAGGCAAAGTCAATAGCAAAAGAGGACCAGGAAGAAGACGCAACTCTTAGCTTAAAAACCTACGGCAATGGACGAACATGACCTCCATAGAACTATTCAGGGCTGCTACAAATAAGATTAAATGGGCAAATGTAATGGCCAACGTCCTTAAGGATAAGGCACCGTAAGAAGAAGAAGGACTTTTGTTTTTAACTGGGCTTAAAAAACAAAGTCACATACATTTTTTGGAATTGTGGACAACTGATGAAACAAGATCAAACATTTTCAGAGCTTGCATGAGCTATAACCGATTTTTATTTCTCTTGTGTGCTCTTAGGTTTGACAATAAATATACAAGAGCTCAAAGAAACGCTACTGATAAACTTGCCCCTATACGATTTATGCTGGACGGCTGTTCCAAAAATTTTTATAACAGGTAAAAAATTAGGTAAACATCTGATAATTGACGAAATGCTTATTCCTTCTCGTCAGTTATGAGCTTATTATAGTTTATTTATTATAGCTTTACACCAATTACAAGTTAGCAATAGATCTGTTGAAAAAATGACTTCAATGTTTGGAACAATAAAGAAAATAAAAGAGAGATCCCAAAAAATTTTTTACCCAATAAAAATCGAATATAAGATTCATCTCTTTTTGAGTTTCAACAGAAAGCTACACTTTTTCTAGTATCTTGTATCATTTGTTCCAAAAAAGAACAGAGCGGTTGTTTTACTTTCACGATTATTTACATATTCAGCAGCAAGACGTACCCGTATAGTTATATAAGTATATTATATGGCCTTTAGTTATATTTTTTCAGATGTTGAATGTGGCAGTTACACATATTATATAATTCTGCGCACTTTAATAGTCCAACTAACCTTAGAAGAAATTTTTTAAATCGTTAGCAATTTCATTGATGAACATGATGAAAAATGATGATCTAGGATAGAGCAGGCTAGAGCTGCTTTTAGAAGGATGTCCAAGGTGTTATATAACAGAGACCTAAAATTGGCATTGAGGATCCGCCTACTTCGCTGCTACGTATTCTCGGTCTTACTTTATGGTGTCAAGTCCTGGACTGTGAATAAAATCGATCTAAATCGCCTTGAGGCTTTCGAAATGTGGTGCTATTCGAAGGTGGTGTAGAAGAATTTTAAAAGTTTCCTGGGTGGAGAAGATTCGAAACTCCACAATAATAGAACATCTCAGCAAGACTACTGAGATCATAAAAAGCATCAAACAGAGATGCTTTTTATGATCTTTTTATTCTCCAAGAAGAACCTCATGGTTGAAGAGCTTATGAGATTGGTATGGTGTTGGTACAAGCGTGCTATTTAGGGTGGCAGTGAATAAAATTAAGATAGCTACGATGGTAACCAACATTCTGAAAGGACATGGTAAATGAAGAAAAAGATTTGTTAGTCTACAAGGATCATAATAACAACAATTGATAACAATTTTTTTCTACCTTCTGACTTACTCAAAATGTTTAATATTTTTAATTTGTTAATAAATAAGGTTTATAACAAACAACTAAGTGTATTTTTTCAAAAAAAAAGGTACAACTACTGTTTTGAAGTTTATTCTCTTGTGATGTATAAAGTACGTCACGCTTGTACTTACGTTATAACGCGATGCGCGAGTAGTTAAAGGTTAAAAACAGTTAAAGAAAAATAATTTACATATCAACTTATTAACTTACCATCTTCCATAGTTTGGGCTGTTACAGGCTCCGATAGTGGCCCAGCTCCTACTTCGTTAAATGCTTGAACAACAATTGTATATCTAGTATATTTGTTTAGTCCACCAAGTAAGATTTCGCCACCATCTTCGCCGTCTCCATTAACAGAAGTAAAATTATAACTACCCATAGTGGCAGTGCGATAGCCTATATTAAAACCCTGTAATATTATAAAAGATATTAAAACCGCTGGATCAAGCAGAAGATAAATTAAGAAATTTAACAAATTTAGTTCGGTTGTAGTGTATACTTTGGTAATGCTCGTTATATACTCACCTGTATATAACGGGCATTACCATATAATTATATAAAAATATATAGAAAAATTTTATGGCTTATTGTTTGTTGTAATAAATAATAATTTGTAGCATTTATAAATTCTTTGGTATATATTGAAATCCCCTCGTATACGTATTAGAACACCAAAAAATATTTTTAGTGTATTTCTATATTTCATTTTTACAGTTTGTTTATGTTTCGCAGATGCGTATTTTCTAGGCATTCCATTGATCGAAGCCGCTTTTAGGATATTTTGCGTTCCCGTTCCCGTTGTAAGTGTTTTGTTTATACCAAGTTAAGCGAATGATTTTTTACCTCAATCTCGCTGAGGCCACTGTCAGGGACAGTTGGCTTCAGTGTGGTTCAAATTTTAAGTCTAATTTTCAATGTTTTTCGTTTGTCGTTTCTTTTGATGGAAAATAAGTAGTTAATAGTAGCAGTTTAAATAATAGTTACAGTTAAAGTGAGTGAATTAATAGTTCCATTTTCCTGTTTTATAAGAAGAAACTGAGTTTAAAGTTTGTGTTCCAGTGTCCCAACTTAAATGCCCCCAATCTTAATTTTGTCTTGTCCTATTGCAGTTTAGAGATGTCTTTGGTCGTATGACGGTGAACTCCAGTTCTTCCAGAAATTCTAAAGTTCAGTGAAGCCCAGTTACAAGAAATTTAAAGTAGAGAAATTTGAGTGCAATTCAAGTAAGTTTCTATTGAAATTTTAAAAGAAAAATAAGAATAAACATTTTTATTAATAATTGCTTTCATTTGAAGTGTTTGAAAATATATTTCTTTATTTGCAATAATTTATTTCTGTAAGTTTTGTAGCATCTCTCATTTGTAAACACAGTTTGTAAATGAATAGAACATGTAAGTTCTCTTCTTTGTTATTTTGGTATACATCTTTGTAACTATTTATATAGTTATTGTTTTTGTATTATCTGTGTGTGTAACTGTTTGTGGTGAGAAAGTAATAAATTTTTAAAATAAATCCGTACAATAGTTTCGAAACACAAACTTTATTCTCTTGTGAACTCTTTTTCATTTTAATAAATGTTTAATTTTTTTTTTAAACCATTTAGTTTATTTATTTGTTTTAGAAAAGTCTTCTAACCCCTTTTTGTGGTTCTTTTTTAGGAAGAAAGAGGCTCTTTCCTTCATTGTGGCGTCCATTTTAAATAGCTAGAGGTCCTTCTTGTTGTTTTGCTTGCTAATTTGTCCGGGAGATTCATGTAAGTACCCCCTTTGTTTAATTATTTGTAGTTGCCCCCATCTACCCCACTCGCCATTTACTTATCCATGACCTAGCTATCCAAATAGACATTGAGTGCAGTTCGCATAAGTTTCGATTTGTTTTGCTTGCCCTATCTCTGTCCCAATAGTTTGTGTCCCCAATTTTCAACCCCATTGTAATACTCTATGTGGTCGGCAAAATATTTCGTTACAAATTAAATATTAATTAATTAAAGTACCGATTATTACATTTGTTTTTAATAGTGAAAATTCTAGGAAGCATTTATACATACAACAAAAACTACACTGATTGAGACGTTCTATATCTCCGTTATATATTATGTGATATAGTTTTAATTCCATCCAGCTTAATAGGTAAACTGTATAAGAAAACTAAATTATAAGTAGGGATAGCAGGCATTACTCCAATAAATAAATTACTCTAATATAACCACTTTACAAACTTAAAGCCTTAATTAAAACTATTAATCAAGTCTGACGGATTGAAACGCCTCAACCGACGCTCAGCGCCGGCGTTTTTAAATACATATTATCGAGTATAAGTGCGCAAATGTTTTATATATGCATTCTTCTTGTTGATAGTTTAAAATTTGGTTATACAAAATTATACATTTTTATTTACCTGTATATCTCCATGCCTTAATTCAGGCAATGGTGGTGACCACGTCACCAATATTTCTGACGAAGAAATAGGCCTTGTAGCGGGATTCAGAGGCGGACCGGCAGGACGTTGGGGTTCCGTTCTTAAAAGAAGATCTTCGCTAGGAGAACTCTTACCTGCTGGACCTTCTGCGATAACATGAAACGTGTATTTTGTAGCCGGTTTCAGATCTTCGATAAGAGCTGTGAACGGTAGCGGCGAATCTGATAACTCGATTTGATGCCAAGATCCTAAACAATTGAAAAGTTTTAAAAGTTTTGATGTATTTATTCTGTACAGAAGTATTAGAATTTAGAAGTATAGTTAAATTTTATTGTTTATTACAATACAGGAGGAATGGAGAACGAGCGAACTAAGTCTACTATTCAAAAAAGAAGATAAAACAACAAGAAAACTACAGAGGTATAAACTTGTTAAATACTACGCTAAAACTTACAACTAAAATTTCACAAGTGCTAATAAATCAGAGGATAAGTTAAATCAAACATGATTTCCGTAGGAAGTGATCAAAGAATTGTTAGAGCCAAAATCAAAATTAACGCCACAACAGACAGACAAAAATTTAAACCATCTAAAAAAGAGATAGATACAGAACTTCTTAAAGAACGCAAAAAACAATACATAAACCAGCTTAAAAGAAGTGACATATCACAGCTAGAGAGTTTGCAACTAGACGAATTAAAAGATAAAATAACAACAGAACTACTAGAAGCAGGCCTGAAGATTGCTAATAAACAACAACAAAAACATTGCGAAAACAACAAAAAATTTGCGCTAAATCACAAGATATGCTAAAAAAAACGACGACAACTTCTGAATGATAACAAAAGAAATACAGTGGAGTTTACCGAACTGAACAAAACCATAAGAAAATAGATAAAGGAAGATTTAAAGAAATACCAAGAAGATCGCATTAAGAAAATCATAGAGAAGAACAAAAGTTTAAAAACAATGAAGACAAATATAGGAGAAAGAAAAGTAATCATGATTAAAGCTGAGAACAATGAAGAAAGAGATCTAGGAGAAATAGTAAAAAGCACAGAAAGATATTACACAGAGCTATACAGTTCTAAAAATGACCCATCACTATCATCTAAACAGAATTTCTCGAGGAAAATACAAAATGTTGGCTCAGAGGTATTACCAGAAATAACTGAAGATGAAATCGAAAAATCCATAAACAACATGGAAAGAAATAAAGCGGTCGGTGAGGTCAAAATACTGGCGGAACTGCTAAAAGAAGGAGGAGACACGATAAAAAATAATGCTAAAAATACAGTTAAACAAATGTCTGTTTGAAGGTAAAATACCTAAACAATGGAGAAATGCCAACACAATCTTAATACATAAGATAGGAGACCAAACAGACCTAAACAACTACCGTCCTATTTCCCTTTTGTCACAACTATATAAAACCTTCACGAGAATAATAAACAACCGACTAACCTATAAACTTGATAACTACCAACCAGTTTAACAGGCCGGATTCAGGAAAGAATACAGCACAATCGACCACTACATGCGCTTAAAATCTTAATTGAGAAAACCAATGAATACAACCTTCCTCTGTACTTAGCATTCGTAGATTATGAAAAGGCTTTCGACAGCATTGAACACTGGGCGATTGAAGAACTCTGGTCAATAGTAGAATAGATTCAAGATACCGACAATTGATACATGATATTTACCAAAACGCAACCATGACCGTAACTCTGGACGACAAATTAATAACGGATAATATAAAAGTTAAACGAGGAGTCCGACAAGGCGATATAATTTCAAGTAAACTGTTTGCTTTGACCCTCGAAGACATAATAAAATCAACAGATTGGGAAAACAGAGGAATATGTATTAACGGAAAATACCTAAATCACCTTAGATATGCGGATGATATACTTCTGATCTCCTCGGAATGACAAGAACTGGAATTAATGCTGAATGAACTTCACGAAAAATCACTGCAAAAAGGCCTAAAAATTAACTTCAACAAAACAAAAGTAATGACAAACACGGAAGACCAAGAGGCAATAAAAATACAAACAGAAAAAATAGAACAGATAAATGGGTATATCTATCTAGGACAAGCAATCAGAGCTAACAGAGAAAATCAAACAGCCGAAATATCGAGACGAGTAAGAATGGGATGGGCAGCGTTCGGCAAACTTTCTTACGTTCTAAAAAATCAAACAATCCTTCTATACTTACGAAGCAAGGTATATAACTCCTGTATAATACCGGTGCTCACCTACGGATGACAGACATGGGCATTTACACAGGCCAATTTGGATAGTATAAGGAAGGCACAAAGAGCGATGAAAAAACAAATGTTGGGTGTATCACTTATAGAAAACGTAACCAGTGGATCAGAACCAGAACAAAGACAGTAGACGCGATAAAACAAGCATCAAAACTGAAATGAAAATGGGCTGGACACAATAAACGTCTCCAGGACGGACGATGGAACAATGCCATCGAAAAGTGGCGTCCATACAATGCAAAGAGATCAAGAGGCAGACCACAGATGAGGTGGAAAGATGACATCAGGAAACAAGGAGGTCCCACATGGCAGAGAACAGCTCAAGATAGGGAAAGATGGAGAGAACTGGGGGAGACCTATATCCAACAATGGAAGGATAGAGAATAGGTTCAAAAAAAAAGTTTAGCAGATGAATGGGTTTTCGAAGTGGAAGATCATGTACAGATGCAATAGTCGTTACAAAGCAAATTACTGAGAAATTACTAGAGTATAATCGACCAGCATTTCTGTGTCTGATTGGCACAAATAAAGCGTTCGACAGAGTAAGACTCAAAGATGTAATCCATCTTCTGTTTAATAGACCAGTTCTCCTAAATATTATAAAAACTATCGAAAATATCCATCAAAACAACAAAATGGAAGTCAGAATAGATTGACAACGTAAAGAACCTATAGAAATAGACAGGGGAATATGACAAGGGGATTTATTGAGCCCTATGCTCTTCAATTTGATCATGGATGAAATCATCAAAAGCATTAACAAAGGAAGAGGATACAGAATGGGAAACAAAGAAATAAAAATATCCTGTTACGCAGACGACGCAATATTAATTATATTAATATCTCAAGGTGAAGATAGTTTTCAAAGACTGGTCCACAGATGTAACATAAGAGCAAAAGAATTTATTATAACAATCTCATTTCAAAAAACTAAAACAATAGCAGTCAGCAAAGTACCAACCCGATGTAAAATAGAAATTGATGACATCGGTATTGAGCAAGTAATGGAAATAAAATATTTGGGAATTACACTATCATAAGCCGAATGGAGTAGACCCGTGTCGTCAAAATAGCAAGAAATAAGTCACCAATCAAAAGAGGGAGTGACAAGCTTAAGAAGAAGAAGAAAAGGAGAAAATAAGGATCTGTGCCTGCAGTCGCGCACCCATGGAGGAGGGTTTTGGGGGTTAAACCCTCCCCCAGGACCCTATTCCGATACTGTTATTCACAAATTTTAAGGACTCAAAATGGTGAAGGTAGCATAAACAAATTTCGGTGCCCAACCAAAACCCCCACAGAGGAAAATTCTAGGTGCGCTACTGTGTGCCTGACGTAGCCTTATTTAATATTTTGAATAAAATTGATCTAACATGGGTTCCGAATATAACACTTGTTTGGTGTGAAATAATCGATAAATCTCACAAAATATTTTACTAAAAATACTAGATCCAAATTCTCAAAATCTTAGACAGTATAGTGGCACAAAAGCATAAAAATAATGCTAAGGTATAATCTCTTAAAATAACATTCAAAAAAAGCAAATCAAAAAAGATTATCAACTTACGATCCATCTCCCGATATTCAATAATAAACTTGAAGACCTCGTGCGTGTCGCCAGATTTATGTTGCCATTTAAGATTAACGGATCTACTACTAATCATTGCTGCTTCTACGTTTTGAGGTGGCACTGGCGGTTCTTGTACTAACAATTGCACTAATTGTTGATCTCTGCCATACATGTTACTAGCTTGGCAAAAGTAGGCTCCACTGTCTTTCGCATCTGCATTTAATATTTGCAACTCGGCTGCCACCTGAAAATTAAAACAAAATTCAGATTAATTTGGCATCACCCAGGTGAAAAATGTGTGTACAATAACCCAAGTGGGGTATTATTGACCCTATTTAAAATTTATTAGAAAAACTCAACAAACATTTCGATCACGATTTGCGTAACTAATACTAATCAGGACAGATCTTCCAGGAATGTCCAACGTTTCTTTAAATAGTCACTAGTGTTTATTCTGTAAATTACCTGGCTGTTGATTCCAGCTATGTCCATTAGTGAAAAAAATATTCTTAGTGGCCACCTTCTACAATTACGAGCTAAACTGTAACTTCCTTTCAACTTATCCACCGTATCAACCCTTTCTTTTGTAAAGTTACTAAGTAGAAACTTATTATTTCTGGTAAAAGTTTCTCGTCGGTAGATTTATCTATTTCATCATCATGATGAAGTGATGATAATAAAATCACGTTTTTACCTTTTTTGGTACAAATGATACCATAGTTATATGTTCCTGAAATCCAAATACCGAGGACTGTGGTTGTCTGTTCTGAATCTGTATAAATTCTGGGGGAATCTCTCGCTTGGTTTTCATCAGAGTTCCTACTGAAGTTATACTATGTTGTTTACGCAAAATTTTCACAACTAACGGAGCTGAGAGACTTCGTTCTGTCAAATAGATTTGTAATGTGGCAGTTTATTTATTTTTCTGGACAGAACCGTCACCGTGATGATAGGGCGGTGTATGAGGGTCAGTTCAAGTGACCTAAGTATCTTCGCTTCCACGAATTTTGGCCACCCTTTTGGACTCACTAAAAGCCCCAACTCGGATATCTGCCAGAGGGCTTCAATCTATGAGGGGAACTTACGGTTGAAACCTGATTGAAAAATAATTTAAAGGGATAGTGGAACCTAAAGGTGACAAATATTAATAAAGTGGGTGCTTCAATGAAAAAAGATAGAGATAATTAATTATTTATTATTATTATTAACATAGGCTTAATAAAGGGTATTACCGATGTAATAAAGAATAATGAAATCAAACGTATATAAGTATTTTTCAGTAATCGCTTTATTCGTAAATCAAGTAAATCATAATTATTAACAAAAATCTGTTTTATTTTTATTGTAGTCATTTATGATATACAATGTTTTTTGTTTGATTACCTGGTGAATATACAAACAAATCTGATGGTTTTCCAATACGGGAAAAGGCAACATACAATTGACCATGTGAGAAACATGGTCAATTGTATTGACCATTGGTTTTCTAGATTAATACCACAAACAGATAATCATTGCCCCTGGAGACACACATAAGCCGCACTGGAAACTAGTCGTTTAAATTCAAATGGTACATCAGTCGGAATCGTTGCGATGCGTGGTATCAAAACGTCTTCTCCTTTATACTTTTCTTTTAGTATAGTTGCTTCTATCACGTTGTTCAATAATTTTTTTATCGCTAACCGTGTGCCTTTGCAAAGATGCGGTTGGTTGATATTTCTCAACATTATAACTACCGATTTAACCTTTAATTGAAGATTGTGAGCTGGCAATCCTGGTAAATCTAGCGAGTTTAAAAATTCAGGCGGATAGTTGATGACATCATCTTGGTTAGTAGCTGAATCAACTGATTTATATGTCCTCAATTCGCCTGTAATTTGTTCTTGAATTTTGAAATTTAATTCATTACATCTATGTTTTTTGCCGCCAATATATCCCGTTCGCTCAACCAATCATGGTTTTTGAATTTTGAGTAACATCTGGAAACACCTTTTGAATAAGTTCATCTTTTGACTGAGTTAACTGTTAAAAACTTTGAGGAAAGTTAATGCAACCAGTCATGGTGTCTATAGGAAATTTGCCATTACCAATGTCAATGAGTTGTTTAGAGAATATGTCTTCAGATTGGTCATTTTACAACTCGACATGCATATTCTTGCGTAGGTGACTACAACATAGATGACTTAAACATGCATTGAGTTCATCAGCTGGCGTTGATCGTGGAATCACTGGCAAATAGGATATAACACTACGTTTTAGTTTTTTTTTTACTTTTTTTTAATATGTTATGACTTGGAGTCAAGTCCTTTAAGCTACAACAATGTTGTATATGTATAGAGTATATTAAATTAATAATAAATTAATTATTAAAGATAATAAACGCTTTTAAAAGCGGTTTGTTTGACAGATGAGACGATGTGAAACTGATGCAATTTATGTCGCGTCCCGAAACTAAAACAAAAGAAAAAATATTGCGAAGCCAATTAAATCTATAGCTCTTACATGCTTGTAATTTAATATGTACTTGATTGAATAGCAATAAAGTTCAAATTGACTCTACATTTAGTTAGAAAATATTTTTATGGGAAAACGATTTATGGAAAAATTTTATTTTTATTTATTTATTTATAAAAGATTTTATTTATTTATGGAAAAAAATATTGCAGATATATTTCTAAGTAATAACTGTATTAAGGTTTTCTATGAAATGTCAATGTTTTACCCATATAAGAAGTGTAAAAATAAAGTTGTTTTTTTTTTGTCTTAGTTTGCAAACCCTTGTGGAATTTTTTAAAAGGAACACATCTACATTGTTTAAACAATAGTGAGTGCTTGTAATTTAATATAAACTTTATTGAATAGCAACAAATTTCCAATTAACTCTACATTTAGTTAAGAAATATTTTTGTATGGGAAAAAGAAAACGGCTGTTTTAGGATTTTCCCGAAATTTATTCGATTTTTTCTCGCCGTAAAAACCATCTTTAGACTTCAACGGATATTTAAAAAAAATTGTTAAGATGATTGTTATGCGCTCATAAACACATTTTGCGATTTATTTTTATATTATAGATAATATACTTATAAATTTTATGAAACAATTGTCTATAACAATCCTCCTCGTCTATGATGGCTGTTAATTTTTCCCAGGTATTATACCACAAACGAAACACGAAAGCCTAATACTTGCCTAATATGAGCCAAATCAAGAAGTTGATTTAGCTCGTACGAAACCAATTAGAACAGTGGCACAGATATGCATGAAATTAACCTTAAAAAAATACAGATTTAGTTAAAACTTGTGGTAAAGTTATATTTATTCTGCATACTCCATGTAGATCTCACATTAGTAAAATCATAACTGCTTACACACGAATGAAAACCTGTACACTCCCAATCGTTTATCCCCAACAAAATTGTACATTCGAAACTTGCAAACCGACATTTTAAAATTGAGGTCTTACCCTACATACGTAATTGGGATTTATCTCAAACATATTTTAAAATACATCAAAAATCGCTTAGCGGGAACTTTCAACGGGACCGTTAAATCAAACGGAAAAATAGAATTTTCTGTTTTCTTATCTCCGTTCCGTTTTTTGTGCTGTATTGAAGTAGAACAAAAACATTTTCGTTTCTTTCTACCCGCTCTGTTGATACGGTGTATGATGAAGTGATAACTTCTTTTTGCTGGAGGACATTTGATGTTTTTATATCATGTCTTGTTTTGCGCTTCGAAATTGCCTTACGAAATTTGCAAGTTGTTTCGCGTTTTTACACTTTGCATATTTTAAAGAAAGACACGCTTTGATAAAAAGCTCTGAAAACCCTTAAAAATACAATTGTTAGTCAGTAGATGGTAAAATGTAAAATTCATTAGTTTATTATTTCATTGTTTTAAATTGTTGTAAATAAAAATAAATATACTCGTTTAAGTATTTTTTTGACATAACTTTAATATTCAATATTTACGACGGCAGAACTCCAAAGCTTTGCGATAATATCGGAATAGCAAATAATTATTTTTTTATTTTTTTATTGTTACACTGCATGTTAACAATCTACTCTATATACAAAGTAATAAGTAAATAGTCTGTAAGTATATTAACGAAAGTTAAGTAGCGTCCAGTGACGGAAGTATTATTGCGGTAGGTCTTCTGGCCATACCCTCTTCAATCTTCTTTCGGAAAGTGGTTGGGTGAATAAATTATTTATCAGTTCGTTGTTGTGATCAGTGGTGTGATTTTTATATTTTATTGAGTGATTCTTTATTATGTCCTTAAGTAATGGGATGTCCAGATCATTGTGAAGTGTTCGGTTAGATACATACCATGGAGCTTTACTTATAATATGGAGTATTTTGGATTGAAATGTTTGAAGTATATTTGTATTTGAAAGTTTACTACAGCCCCATAGTTATATTTCATATGGCCAAACTGGCATAAGTATAGCTTTGTACAGAAGCAGTTTATTTTCAAGTTGTTTCCGTTTAGTTTTAATGTGCGTTGTCCATGTAAGTCTTTCATCAAGATGCAATCACAAGTATTTGACAAATGTATTTATAGGAATGGAAACATTCTTAACATAAACTTGTGGACATGTAGATTGTCTTGTTGTAAAACTAATTTCTACTAATTGGCTAGCATTAACACTGATCTTCCATCGCTTAAGCCAATTTTGTAATAGATCTAAATGATTTTGTACTTTTTGTGATGCTACATTAGGCTCGATATCCACTGCCAAGATTCCTATGTCATCGGAAAATGTAGCTCAGAGGTATCATTACTGATTGGAACGTCTGCTGTAAATATCAGATACAGAAATTTGGCCTAAACGCTACCCTGAGGTACGAAAGATTGTATGCTGTAGTAATTTCAGTAGCTGTCTTCAATTTTGACTTGGAAGTAACGGTCAGTAAGATATGATTTTAGTATAAAGTATAGTTGGTCTGGTAGGTGTAATTTCAGTTTGTAGAGGAGACCTTTATGCCATACTCTATCAAATACCTGTTGTACATCTAGAACACTTCAGCGCAAAACTTTTTCTCTTCAAGAGTTGTTTTAATTATATTTACTATTCTGTGGCATTGTTGGATAGTTGAGTGTTCACGTCTAAATCTGAATTGGTGTTGTGGTATAATTTCGTTTATGGGAACAGCTTGCTCAATTTTATGTAATAGTAGCCTTTCTAATACTTTCGATATTATTGGGAGTAGGCTTATAGTATCATAGTAACTTGAGCAAATTTTTATTGTACCTATTGGAGAGTATGAAAGACGTATCGCGCTGTTGTATATTATTGTTAATAACACCACTGCTTTTCTCGGTAGTTTTTGAAGTAGTTCTCCTGTTATCAAATCATAGCCAGGAACTTTGTTAGGATTTAGCATTTCTATTTTTTGTGGAACCTCTGTCGGAGTAAATGTTGTCAGAGGAAGAGATAGTTAACATAGAGTTTCGAGGTACATTCTTATACCATCATCTTCATCGTTATTAGTATCTGGTGCCGCGAATACAGTTGCAAGATGCTCTGAGAACACTGTTGTGTTTCTGCATTTGTGCGTGCCCAGGTCATATCTGTTTTTCTTAAAGTTAAATTTGTTATTGTCAGTCGTTTAAATTTTTTTGTAGTTTTCCATATAGAGTTGTCTTCATGTGAGACGTTCAAATATAAAACTGAAAAGAGTCATTTTTTTCTTCATGTAATGCGCTATTTGGTCTATGACTTATCCTGTTAAGGTACGTTTTATTTAGTGGATTTCACGTTTGTTGCCATATGCGTCGAGCTCTTCTTTTTTTCTGCTACCAGTTCTCTTATATGGAGAGGGATATTATGGTTTTCTTGCACACTTCTTTGGCGCTGTGGTGTGGCTTTCCCTCCTGTTGTTTGTAATACTGTTCCACTGCTTTCTCTACATCTTGGTTTCTTTTATCCTAATATTTACTTTAATCTTTATATTTACAGAATTTTGGAGAACAGTCCAGTTTGTTTCTTTAGTTGTGACTTTGGGTGGTGGTGTTCTCCATATTATGTGTGTACTTAAAGTTATTATTATTGTACTGCGATCTAATGTTAAATCGAAGTTTGACTCTATTGCACTATGGACGTCAGATATCCCTTTTGTTACAGCAAAATCTACCAAATTTGGAATTTTGTTGACATCCGTAGGCCAGTATAGGGTTCTCCCGTAGATAGATATCTTAATAACCGTTCTTTGTATGGCATGACTTTCAGATATTAATAAAATGTCTATATTCTACATTTTTTAAAACAGTGATATCTCTAGTATATGGTTTGAAATGCCATTAGCATTCTACGACGCAATTTGTAGTAACTTGAAAGCTATTTTGTTATTTTGTTAATGACTGTAGTTAACATGGTTAAAATCATGCTATTTTGCTTTAAGAGTTGAGAGACCATATTTTTGAATTCGTTTAGGAAATTTGATAGTTTATCTGCTAATTCATTGTTGTTATTTTTGTTATTTGCATTTATGTTTCCAATGGTAGCATCTCTATAACTGATTCTGTTGAAATTATGAGCATGATGTTGGATATGTATATTTACAATGGGATTGTTGACAGGATTTTAAGTGGTGATTTGTTTTGATTTGTCATGGTATCTAACATTTAGTGATTTACGGCAAACAGAACATCCTCTGTAATTAGAAGGCTGGTCTCCATTCCAGTTAGTGTAAGTTGCTGACGTTTTGTTTTCTTGCAGTCCTTTGTGTTGTGTGATCCAACGCATTTTACGCAATTATATGGTTTTGCACAGTACGTTGCGAATGCTGCGGTGTTATGTCTTTTCTACCCTGTTATATGGAGTTGAGGCTTGGACACTAAAACAGTTGACCATAAAAAACATCGAAGCTTTCGAGATGTGGTGCTATAGGCGCATTCTCAAAATATCATGGATGGACCGCGTCACTAACACGCAAGTACTCCAAACTTTAGACAAAAGATGCGAAATTCTAAATGAGATAAAAACTAGAAATATGGAATACTTGGGGCACATTGTGAGAGGTGAGAAGTACGAACTTTTAAGAAACATCATGCAGGGCAAAATTAAGGGCAAAAGAAGTGTGGGAAGAAGAAAAATATCGTGGCTTCGTAATCTACGTGAATGGTTCGGGTATAGTTCGATTGAACTTTTTAGGCGCGCTGCTAACAAAGTCGCAGTGGCCATGATGATTTAGTGTGACCGTATTCTTGTGTGACGTTTTAGTGTGACCGTATTCTTGACATCGTGTACATTGTAGTCTTTTAATTCCCAGTGGTTCTACCCTTATTTTACAATGTTGTATATAATGTAGTTAAAATATTTCTTTGCTGTTCGTTTGAGGTACGAAGTCCACAAGAAATATTGGTAATGGTTCACAGCTCAATCTGTGTCTGAAATTTGTAATGTTCCTTACCTTATGACCCTTTTTTGGATTTCCGCTTTTATTTTATCTATCGGAAACGAGTAATGTAGATCTCGAATAACTGCTCTGTATCTGTCTTCCTTAGGTTGGTATGTATGGTGGACGATATTTTCCTCTTGTATGTACGTGATGTGTTTGAATTGTGTCAGTTTTCTGTAGGATTCAGGTGTCTTTGGTAAAATTTTTATTGTGTTTTTTGTTAAGGCTTTAGTAAAGTAAGTTTCTGCTTCTACTGCTTGAGCTAAATTATCTATCTTTTTACTATTCGCTGTGAGTTTCGCCGGTAGCGCTCTCTCGCGGTTTGAAACTTGTACTTTTCTTGTTAAATCGGTGTAAGTGAAATATGACAAAACGAGAAAAATAGATATTTATCTTAAAATACAAAATTATGAACTAAAATATTATTGTAAACTGATTACTGAACGAATATACAGAACTAATAGTAAAATTAATTACGCCTTTTTATTTTATTCATTATAATTTTAATATTTAAGATATAAGTTCCTGCGACTGGATGACTACTTACGTAAGAGGCCATGGAGAAAAAGAAGAAGTTTATGTGAAAATATTTAATGATTAAAGGTTACCTTTACCTCTGGTAACCATGATACTATGACTAAAAAGATAAGGTAACGCATAAGTCGTGACGTCATTGGACAGTTGCACGTTCGAAATGTCAGTTTTTTGTGTGTATCAATAAATAATCTTTAATAAATAGTTTGGAGATATCCTTATGAGTTAGATTATTGTAATTATTAAACCTCTTAACTTATTTTCGTCTAGTAATTTCATCACAGAATGCATACAAATCCCATTTAACTTAAACAAGAATTCAAATTCTACTC